TCCAGCACTGTTTATTTAATTTCATCTACTCAAAACATCATCTACATTTAAATGTAAATATCTCACAACAGATAAAACAATCAATATCACAAGTGGGAAACCATTTTCATTAAACTACACATAACAGTAGATTTGATTTAAGAACAAAAAGTGGGGTTCACTTCCCTTTAGAATTTTGAAATAAAAAAAAACTGATTCTATTGTTGATGATCATACATAAAAACTCATTGTTTGTTCTCTTGAGAGAGAACTTGTTCAGTAAGTTGTCTACTTCTTGAACAAGCCATAAAGTGAAATGTGAAGGAAATAAAAATGTTTTTACTGAATACTGGCCGTTTCTCTTCATTTCACCTGAAGGTTGTTAAAAATGAAGTCGTAAAGTATGATAGGTTTATAAGGTACAAAAATATCACACTAAAACTGTTGATTGAATACTGGCCGTTTCTCTTCATTTCACCTGAAGGTTGTTAAAAATGAAGTCACAAAGTATGATAGGTTTATAAGGTACAAAAATATCACACTAAAACTGTTGATAATTATTTTCTAACCAAAGTTACTAAGATAACTTCAAGAATAGAATTCCAAATAAATTATCAGCAGTCTTAGTGCAATGTTTTCTAGCACTTGGTAACCTGTTGTACTTTCATGCTGTACAGTATCGTTTTACAACAGTTAATAATAAAGTTGAAGATTTGGGTGTTGTGACCAACTGGCCTGGTGGGCTCCAGAACAAAATGAATAGGTCAATCAATACTGTTCTACAGAGCAATGGGTTACAGAGAATTGTACTAGTCTTAGTTCCAGATGATCAGAAAACAATGACAGCTGTTTTCATAATCAAGATTTTAAAATCTCACAATTTTTTGCAAAATATGTTTAAAAATCACTTCAATTTCTAAGAGTTGGATCAAAATCAGTGGTATTATTTATTACCTACCGATCGGTAAGAGGAGTAATAACAAGCCTAGGAGTGTTCCCTAAGTACTCGTGGGAGTAACGAAATTGAGCATCACAGATGTTAGCAAAACAATCCTTGTGTTGTTCGTCCCACCGATGTCGAAGCTGAGATTGCCAAATGAACTCCCAGGAACTCTCAACCTTGTTAATAATCATCTTGTTTACCACATCTCGTGAGTGGACATCTATGGTACATATTGTCATTATTTTCTGACGGTCCCCCTTACTCAGATCTCCCAACAACATTGTAATCAGTGTATTTAACTGGTTTACCTGAAACAAAGACAAATAATGTGATTACAAAGTAAATATAAGTATAAAAAGCACAAATGTAAAGTGAAAGTGTCTTGCTAGATGTTGATAATTCTGATAATGTATTTTTGTTCTGCTAATGATCTATTTTAAGCCACAAGGATTATTATGTGGTTTCATGTCCAAGTATAAGTCACAGTACTTATCTGTGTTCTAATGTCAAACTTACAGCACACACACTGGTCAATATTTGTGCTTAAATAGAATAAACACTACTTTAGATCTACAGTGCAAGCAGGAACTAATAAATGACACATGTTTATTTCATCTACAATATGTGTACACAAAAATTCATCACATTTTAAAAATAATACATATTTAAGCATTTTCATATTATATATGTGAAGAGGAAGGTTTTATTTTATGGCTATTCTTTTTCCTGTATTGTGTTACAAACTGAAGCTTCTTTTCAGATAATGAAATATGATTTTATGTTATTTAGAATTAGCTTACATAAATCTAGAGATTTTCATTTAGCCTTGATTATTTCACACTAAAGCTATGACAAAAGATAAAATTGTAGCTTTTGTAGTTAATTATTACTCATATAAAGTTATGATATTTTTCATATAAATATTGTGTATCGTTTGTAGTTAACTATTACTCATATAAAGCTATGATATTTTTCATATAAATATTATGTATCTTTTGTAGTTAATTATTACTCATATAAAGTTATGATATTTTCATATAAATATCATGTATCTTTTGTTTTGAATAACTTTATTTTTACTAGAATAATTAAAAAATATCTTGTACTTTGTTTCAATATTTCACAATTAAAGTAATGTTATGTCAAATACCAACCTGTTTTTTGAGATAATCTTTTAAGGCATTTTCATAGCCTTCTTCCAGTCGACCAAAAGCAATATTGACCTCCATGGTCCACCAAATTTGAGTGCCACATAAGGATACTTGAGCTGGGTAATCGAATAACCAATGTTCTCGAGGTTTTTCTTCGTAAGTGATAACAGCTTCAGTCATGTAATAACGAACAGTGGAGCACATTTTCTGAAGAAGCCGAGACAGCCACACCTCCACTGGGCCAGAACAATCACACTCTTCATCAAATTCCACATATTCACCATCTTTGCTGTACATTCCTAAAGCCATCTTAGTAAACTTCTCATGATTATCTGGATCTGGCTTAAATCTCAGGCCAGCCATGGCATCGAAAAGCTTTGTTAGATGCCGAGCAACCTAAGAAAGATAACGTGACAAAACATGACTATCAAGGATATGATAATATGTTATACGATGAAATCTAAAAAATGATTTAAAAAAATAACTTTATGATTATTAACATAGCATAAAAAGTTTAAAGATAAATATGGTGAAACTACAGTATAAATCAATAAAAAATCATTAAGTGG